CGAGCCTAACTATGATGAGCTGAGTTGATCGCGTTGGTTGCTACTTATTTTTCAACATAAACTCCTCCGAGGTCCCCACACTTCTGTCAACGATGTTGGAGTGCCTGGATCACACCGGTGTAGCTGGCCTCCTCCTAGTGCTGAAAAAAGCCCTCCACTGCAGAAATGGCTTGCCAGCCAACAATGCTTGCCAGACAGTTCTTCCTTCAATTTTGTGAAAAAGTGGACTTCTAACGGTGCCAAATCCGGTGTGTACGAAGGATGGTCAATGACAACATGGCACAGCGGAAGAGGGAGGACCGCCAAAAGTTATCACAACATAAGTCAATAGAAATACATGTCTCACGTGGATACACTGTGCGTGCGTGCGTGCGTGCGTGCGTGCGAGCGTGCGTGTGCGTGTGTGTTAGTAATAAGTGTGAACAATATTTCATGTATTTCTGGGGCCATGGGAAAATGTTACATAAAATGCTGTTGGTGGGTGGGGGTGATGGTGGAAGCAAAATATGAAAGTTCTAAGACTAATCAAACATAGACAAAGACGTTTGGAATTTTGTCAACATGTAATTCCTGGACGCCGTTTCACAAAGCGAACTCAGCTGAAGACTGTCATAAGCCTATGTTACACAGGGGCAGGACAATCAGTTCTTGCTACACGGGTAAACGTCTACACCAGGAAGGTAACTTTCTATCTAAGTGATGGAAAATACAGTATATAAGATACTGATTAAGTATTAAAGACAAAGAAATAGTCAGTTTGTTTCAGCCTTTATGTTTCCATTTCCCGCTCATGTGAACATTTTACGTGTGTTTCAAAAAGTATTCTGTTATTCCAAGACGCCATGTATTACGTCGGACAAGCAATACAAGCATGTGCATCACACCCATGTGTGTTTGTCTGTCTTGTTCTACCCAGGTGGAGCAGTTCATGGTGGAGTGGGAAAGGGTCACAACACGAAAAACTACACAGTCTCACTTTACAACGTCAAAAGTAGAATACCAGAAAACAGTCTCTTCAGTTGCAGACCACATTCAGTGAAACCTCGTTAACATGTAGACGATTTGACTGTATATCGAGTTATCGGTTGTACGACACAAGCGGGGTATCTGTAGTATGTGCTATAGTGAAGGTATGGAATATAGTCTGGCCAGTACATAAAGGTAATACACTTTATTGTTGTGAATGGGTGAGCGAGTGAGTTGGGTTTAACGCCGCTTTTAACAGTATTCCAGTTATATCACGGCGTGTCAGCTTAATGTGGGAAGATAACCCGAAGTGATGCAGGTCTCTGACGTTTACCACTTCGATGAAACCCGCGAGCACGGGTATGGTGCTGACAAACCTAGAAACATAATCGGGGCGAACTGGGATTGGATCCCGCAATCGTAGGTTTCTAAGGGACGCAACAATGTCTCACTTTACAACATCAAAAGTAGAATACCAGAAAACAGTCTCTTCAGTTGCAGACCACATTCAGTGAAACCTCGTTAACATGTAGACGATTTAACTGTATATCGAGTTATCGGTTGTACGACACAAGCGGGGTATCTGTAGTATATGCTATAGTGAAGGTATGGAATATAGTCTGGCCAGTACATAAAGGTAATACACTTTATTGTTGTGAATGGGTGAGTGAGTGAGTTGGGTTTAACGCCGCTTTGAACAGTATTCCAGTTATAATACGGCGTGTCAGCTTAATGTGGGAAGATAACCCGAAGTGATGCAGGTCTCTGACGTTTACCACTTCGATGAAACCCGCGAGCACGGGTATGGTGCTGACAAACCTAGAAACATAATCGGGGCGAACTGGGATTCGATCCCGCAATCGTAGGTTTCTAAGGGACGCAACAAGGTACAGCGAATTGCGGCGCCTTTAAGGACTGGCATAGAATCACAAGCATAAATTGTCAAAATTAACCCGAGTGCGACAATGCGACAATTAGTCAAAATGACTCGTTGACGCGCTTTGGTTATTTTGACACCTTTTGTTTGTTTTTGTAAGGACGACAACGCGACAATGTGACAACATTGCATACACAGTTTCCTGACTCATGTCAAAACGACGACACAATCTGCAGCAACGGCACAGAGCATCAAGTCAGGGTGTCTTTTACAACCACATTCACGCAGCCCATCAGAGAATTACGAAACCCTAATGTTGCCACTTGGGTAGCATAATTTTATTATTTTAAAATCGAAATTGCTCGTTAATTCATTTTTTTCTCGTTATTTCGAGTTTATCCTCGTTGCTTCGAAAATTTGTTTCGTTAATTCAAATTAATTGAAAAAAATCGAAGAAACGAGAAAATAATCGAAGTAACGAGAAAAATTCGAAAGGTCGAGAAAATAATTGAAATAAGGAGAAAATAATCGAAGTTACGAGAAAATATCGAAATTTCATGTTTTTGAAATAAACTCAAAGTAACGAAAAATAAACGAAATATCGAGAAATTTCGATTTGAAAAAAAATTATGGTATCAAAGTGGCATCAATAGGCTTTCGTAGAGAATAGAAAAGACAGAATCGAAGGTAGAACAATTTTTTAAAGACATGTTTTATTGAATGCCGGTTGCACATTACAGTACACTGCGAGGTCTGTCTGTTTGTACTAGTCCGGACTGATGTCGATTTATAGTACTAGCCCATTGAGATACCAAGCCGCATTCTAACTGACTCCGATCCGACCAACCTTTGTTCTATCTCTATATGGCCGAACGCCAGGCACGGTAACAACAAGTACCATATTTTAACATATATGTACGACGCGGCCAGGATTCGAACCACTGACCGTCAGCTCTCCGGGCGGACGCTCCATCCACTAGACCACGAAGACGGTCTGTGTGGGACGTCCGCCTGACCCTTACACAGTGTGTGCATGTATGGAGACATTGCATTCTCTTGCCCCTTCCACCTCCACACACAACACAGCCGCTGGGTTTACTGTGTCCCACAAAACTTATAAAACTGTCGTGTATAAACTGTGATGTCTGATAATGAATGACTTCCCAGGACTTCGAAGCAGTTTGTATTGGTCATCGTCCTTCCGCTCACCAGCAGACAGGCGTGTGAGGATTAAGGCAAAGCTGGTGCGACCACTTACATACTGATGAAGGGGCGTTTTCAGTTGCATATGGTTTGTTTGATGTTTAAGATAATGCGAGACATTAAATGTGTTGGGGGACTCTCAGTCCAGACAAGCACGTGTTTCCCCTTAGATCCGCTCTCTTATTTCTGTCCATCAGCATATCACTCCGAATGTGACAAAGTTGGATATAGCGAACAGTCGGCTATAACAAAACCAAATATTACCCCCTGGGTCTTCAGCAGCCCATGCTTGTCATGAGGAGCGACTAACAGAATCGTTACGCTGACTCGGTCATTCTATCCCATTTGCGTGGATCGATGTTCATGAAGTCAATCACTGGATTGTCTGGGTCAGACTTGATTATTTACAGACAGTCGTCATAAAGCTAAATTTTAGATTATTGCCGAAAGCGTTAAACAAACAAATAAACGACGTCGTTCTTCGAATATAACGAACCATTTTGATGGTCCCATTTTGATCCCTAAGATCACGAGGTATTAGATCACAGATATGTGTGAATCGGTTATCCAGAACTTAAGCAGCTCTTGTGCTGAATAGTAAACTATACTCGAGTTATAAACACTCGTTGAACTATCTTAGGCGCCTCCTTTCAACGGTATACACTTATGGTTGCATCTAAGTGACCTCCTTTCAACGGTATACACTTATTGTTGTGTCTAAGTGACATCCTTTCAGTGACATGATACCCGGCCGCGATATACCAAAAGACGTTAAAATCTGGTACTTCTTGTTACCCTGTCTTGCGCTCGGCATTAAGGGACTAAAACAAAGACTGGTCGGCTTGGAGTCATTTTACTGTGTCTGAGTGGTGTATTCATTTTAAACTGGGGCATGGTATCTTAGTGGGCTAGCACTATAAAATCTGCATTGGCCCGGGCTAGTACAAGCAGCCACACATTCACGTGTATGTAAGTGCAATAATCTTGGACGTGACGTTAAACCCCTTTTTACCTCACCTCACCTCCTTCAGTAGCATACACTTTTTGCTATATCTGTGGGACCTACTTTTAGCGGTAAACATTGATGGTTATTACAGTTTTAGGCAGAGGCATTTCCGAGATTGCTTAAAGTTAAGATTTAAGGGGCGCTTCCGTCTTTACCTTATTACGCACCTAGCATGTGTGTGTGTGTGTGTGTGTGTGTGTGTGTGTGTGTGTGTACGTTCGTGTGTGCGTAATTAAAATATAACAAGTGAAAAGTAATAAAATAAACGTGAAGAAATATACATAGGCCCAACACACTCATAATTAATCTTAATTGAGAATTTAAAATAGATTGAGAGAAATAGATTATTAGACGAGTGTGTTTTCCTATCATATATGTATATTTTATATATTTTAGAATACTAATTGTATTTTATCGCCGAAGTAAGGTATAAACAAGTTGTCTCCCTTGGTTCGCGTATACTTCAAGCGGTGATAAAGACGGATCTTATTTTTAGATGTCATATCAAATATCGTCTCATGTACAATTAATTAAAGATTCGTTAGTACAGAAACTATAAATGGAAATAATGGACCATCGATAACCCAGTGTATCATATTTCCCTTCTATTATATTTATCATAATGTAATGCTATAATGCATTGGAATAGCGAGGGTGGACTTTCAGTTTCATTAGCCATGTTGTTTTCTCATTACACATCAACACAAACGGGGTGACTTCTGTTGACCTAAATGGAGCATAACATGGTTCATGCACATTTACACGAAAACGTCATAAAACATGGCTAATACAAACGTGTACTGGGGAATATGCCTGAACACAATGATGATAATCCAGGAATGTCCAAACACACAACCATGAGAAACAACATCAACACGTTGAACGACTCGTGACCATAGCAGACGATTTTTGGAGTTATCTCCCCTGGATCCCACAGGTGTCGCTAAAAGTATCATGGCGTCGTAAATAAGAAGTAGGTGTTGTAGGAAGTGGACTTCTGATGTGACTCCAACTCCCAGAATCGACAGTAAGTATATTGACAATGTAACGAAGTCGGTTATATATCCCATGACGGAAGATATTAAAAGTCATCGCCGAAAAGGCGATTACCACCGTAACTTCTGTGTCACAATAAAAAAATACTCCAGCTTTGCGTGAACAAAGTCAACACTGGGAAGTGGAATTTGCAAGACAGTTTCAAGTGACAGGTGTTTCTGTTGACGTTTGGATAATCGATGTTGATATACAAATTACGTTCGCTCTTCAGCTTATCAGTTCGGGGGATGATACGGCCATGGTACTGTCCGGATCCTTTCGGAAAACAAACCGTAATTTGGAGGTTTCCATTTTATGTTTTGGTTACCAACATGTATTCTCAACATGCTTTTTAATAGTCAGTGGATGTGTTTGGATGTTTCATGATTTAAGTCTCCCGTATCTCTTCTTTATATATTCCAGTCTGGGAATCCTCATCTCGAGATGTAAAAGTATCCGGTCTGAAACAGCTATCATGACTATATAGCGTCAACAGCTGAAATGTAACTTTTTCAGGTTTTGTTTGGTTATATTGACAGTCTGACACTGTATTCTATTGAAACACTTTGGTAACATCCTTAATGTCAAAATACCTTTCAGAGTTCAACATGAACCATGCAGGTCTTTCTTGCATATTGCTCATTGTGTCTAGTACTGGGACAGGTAACTTGGGTACTCGGGTTGGGTCCTGAGTAAGACCTGGTTACCCACAGGACTATCGGACCCGTAGTTAGTCAGTTGATATATTGTTTAATGACAATAACGTAACACTCCATGGTTACACTTCAAATCGCTAAGGTTTGCATTTCTTTCTGACTTACACACTCATTCCTACCCCCGGTAATTATTTGTATATGTTTGTACCCATGTTGTACCCAACTCTTGGGACCTACAGTGGGTATCCATGTAGGGTTGGGTAATAGGGATCAGGTACCCGGGTACTAAATTCGGACTTGTCCCAGCCCTTGTGTCTAGCCATATACAGTGATCGAATATTAAGCATGAACATGATGAAAGTCATAGCACTAATGTTTTAAGTTAAGATTTGAGGGATTCCAAGTCTTGAGGACCCCCTTGCACAGGGTTCACTTGAGAAATTTTCTGACATGGGCCCTTTATATTCCCTAGGTACACCCACACTTTCCCATACAGAATGTTCAAAATTAGCACAAGGCCCTACCCTAGAATTATCCCTGCCCTTATACATGGTTGTTACAGAAGGACACACTTCTTTCAACTATCATGATGAAACTATATGGCCAGGGTAATTAAATGGCTACGGGATGACATGACTGTAGACCTGTAGGTCTTCAGTAACCCATGCTTTCCGTAAAAGGCGACTATGTTTGTCGTAAGAGGCGACTAATGGGACCAAGTGGTCAGGCTCACTGACTTGGGTGATGCATGTCATCGTATCCCAATTACTTGGATCGATGCTTACGATATCAATCACTGGATTGTCTGGTCCAAACTTGATTATTTACAGACAGCCGTAACATAAAACATGATACAACCACTATTCATCATGATCATTGCAAACCTGGGTTTCACAGACTTGAATTATTAATGGGTACTTTAGCTTGCTGTACTGCCATGAATACTGACCTGTTTGGTGGAAGTGGTAACGTGAAAACATGTACAGTAAAATGGTCAAACTTATTTTCTGAAAATCAGCTATTTAAAAAATATATTCAGTATGGTGTAAGTTTTTCTTTTCACAGCCATATTATAGAGACAGTCAATGCATTTCTGTTAGGCAAGTGATGATTTCCTGAAGAACAAAGTGCTTGACCCTTTCTCCTGCCACTGTGTCAGGGGTCAGGACATTGGAGCTGCAGGAACTTGTAGGACACTCTGTAGTAGGATAATAGATGTGTCATGCATGTGAGGATGTGTTCTGAACAAGAGAGGACATGGGATGTAAAACTGTTAAATGCTCTGTATGTAAACATGGTAAATGATGTGCTTATCAGGAGATATTATTTTCCGCCTCCTGGCAGAATGATGAAAAATGTTAATATGATAAATGCAAAAAAACAAATGTCTATTTATCATGTTTATGTTACTGCTGGTCAAAGATACCTTTTAGACACAAATGTTTAACTGATTGCTTTTCATGGGAATAACATAAATAAGGGAAGAAAACTGTTACCCTTCCTACATGGCTGTAGTCTATGAAGCACATTTCTGGTGTACCCTGCAGTGATATTGCTGGAATATTTCTGAAAGTGGCGTAAAACCATACTCAGTCACTCCATCATATGGGGGCACGGGTGGCTCAGTCGTCTAAGGCGCCGCAATTCTCTGTGCAGAGTAGCGTCCCTTGGACACGCCAGAAACCGCCAGATTGTGGGTTTGAATCCCGGTTTGCCCTGATTATGTTTCTAGGTTTGTCAGCACCATACCCAAGCTCGTGGGTTTCACCGAAGTGGTAAACATCTGAGACCTGCATCACTTCGGGCTTTCCTCCCACATTTAGCTGACACGCTGTGATATAACTTGAATAATGTTAAAAGCGGCGTTAAACACAACTCACTCACTCCATCATATTTGATAAAGTTAAATCTACATGATGTACAGGTTAGCTAGCTTTACATTTTAAACACAGTATGTTTATCTTCTAATTTTAACAATCAAACTCATAATTTAAGTATCTGACATGATAATTTGGTATATTTGTCAAATAGAATTTATTTTGAGAAAATTATGTAATCATCATGATTATTAGTTGTTTAGCATGTTTAGTTGTTTCATACAGATCATTATCTTTAGGATATATATATATGTATATGTACATGTATATGTATATGATATATATATGAAGTAAGGGAAACTGAATCAAATTTGTGCACCTTTCATAATTCAAATTAAACTTCCTAGTTTTAGTATTGTCAGTTCAGATTGAAGAGATACGGTGACTGTGATGACTTGTAAACATAGTAACATGACCTCTTTCTATCAGCCTATACCTAGGATCCAGAATGAGGACACTGTATCATGTAACTCTATCTATCATATCCATGATATCTTATCTAGCAGCTCAAGTAGCTGGAATATCTCTTGTTGTAATTATCATTGTAATCTCATCATATGTATTCATATCACCAGATCTCCTATTTGTTATTATCAATTTGATCAGTGGATACACAAAGTGGTGTCTTGTTTGACCTGATCGGGGTTACCATGCACCACTTACTGTGCTCACGACTGATTAATTTACATGATTTTGAGGTAAGACGGTTTTGTTTAGACTCGAAGCTATATCAGTTTAAAAAATATGATAGGTCCATTAATAATGTGCCAGATTCCATTCACCAAGTGGATGCCTATGGCGCAATGTTCTTTTACTCCAGACTTTGGTCAGTGTGCACTCAAATTTCATTTTGAGCTCCCTGGGGAGTATACAACCTAAGCTGCTGTATGAGGCACTAAAAGGTTGACTTCTCATCCGGGATTAGTGCACTTTACCGGGCACAACCCTTAGGATCGTGAAGGGGTGTTTGATCAGAAAGGGGTACCTAACCCAAGATCTGTGGAGCGAGAGCCACAGCTGGCAGCCTCAGCCAATCTGCACTCTATGAGCTGCAGAGGGTAAGCTACATTGTTGTCTCTCATCCTACTGGGTACCCATGCACTGCTAGATGAAGAGAGGTATCTTACAAACAAGATTTCTTGCCTAAGGAGACACCTCATATAACATGTGTTTCAGTGTGGGGCAGGACTGAAGTCCTAGAAACTTTCAGAAGTCAAGCTGCCAAACACGGCCACCAATCCATCTCCTCTCCGTGGCCAACGATGCTTATTTCACCTGCTGTGTAGCCTGACGTACAAAGGACCATGTTCTACCACTGGCAATGTGTGGCCTGGATGATTGTGTGTCATCATTCCAGTTGGCATGGGTCGTTGCTCATGTAGACAACCTCAGTGCCTGACCAAACTCGATTATTAACATGATATAGATGGAGTATGCAGTGTTAGAAATTGGCACTAGTCCTGTAGTCCTTACCACTCTGCCCAATAGTAAAGGTATCCTAAGGACTAGTAGAAATTGGCCCATTTTAAGGGTTTTGCTATATGTTATCATTATAAGGACTAGTGGGAAAAAACTGTTAGTTTCTAACCCTGAGTATGTCTGACTGTGGTATAAAACAACATATAGTCTTCAAAAGTAGCTGAAACATTCATCCATGGTGTATTGTATCTGTTGTTCTTCTTCAGGAGGGGGGGGGGGGGGGGGTAGCCTTGTGGTTAAAGCATTTGTTTGTGGGTGCACATGGGTACAATGCATGAAGCCCATTTCCGGTGTCCCCTGCTGTGATATTGCTGGAATATTGGTAAAAGGGGAGTAAAACTAAACTTACTCACTAAGACATTCTTGAGGGGGGACTAAGGAGATGGTGTACATCCCACAATTGTAGGTGACAGATTCCATTCAGATGCATCCTCCCGAGGCAAGAGAGTTAACTGAAAAGTCAAGGTTCCATCCTTGCCGAACTAGGCTGGAATTCCTGGGCTCGATCGTAGCGCCATGGGTGGCTATTACGAGTTATGTCATCTCTGTGCCTCTCCTATGGACCAATCAGATTCCACCTCTCATATCACTTGCATTTGCTTCAAACAAAATGGCGGCGCCCAGTCAAGACGATCTGATCAAAATCAAGATATATTGTGATAAAACGGAACTTACATCGCGAAGTGTATCAAATCACGTGAGCACCTTGATTAATAACATGAAATGATTTGGAAAATATCTGTTGACACAGAGTTAGCGGTGCACGTACATGCTTTGCAAATTCTGCAATCGACCGAAATCTGCATGGCAGTTTACTGACCGGATTTTGATTTCATTGCAGAAATTTGATTGGACTATGCATAGACTCGTTAGTCCAGCCAAAATCTAACTCCATAATACAAGCGTAGTTCGACAAGGGTGGAAACTGGACTTTTATAGTCACTGTCAGTTCACTCTCTTGCCTCGGGAAGATGATTCAGTTATGACACTATGTCGATGTTTTGTTGTCACCTCCTCAGTTTGGGTTTTCCTTCCACTTTGCAATGACACACCATAATGTAACTAAAATACTCAGTTTCTGCATTTTCCTTGAGGCTAGAATTATTAGAAATATATTGTTTTCTGGATTCTGCTTAGCATTAAACAAGAGAAGTGGAAATAGTGAATTAGCATAAAAGCACTACTTTTGTCATTAGGTTAGATGCAACCTTACATGCTGACCAAAAATGTGTGCGTACAATATGTTGAACTGCAAGACAACAGGTAAATGAGACAAGCAAATATGATATACAAAATAAATGGACATTAAGATAAATACCGTATTCAATGTAATAAGTTCCCTCCTCTAAAAAGCGCCCACAACGATATTTGCAGATATATTGGCTAGTGAACAATCCCAATTAGCACCCCTTCCGATTGATCAAAGTACACAAGACTTATTTATTCATGATTTTTTTTGTGAAAATTTATTTATGATTTTTTTACTCTGTT